AAATTTTATGCATTATTTTTAAGATATAAACATTATAATACTGTGTCTAAAACATATCTACATCCTACACTTTTACTAATTGACATGTCTTGTTTTCGTGTCGGGTCGTATTTGTGTCATTTTGTTCGTGTCCGTGCATCTTAGCTTGACAAGTTTTAGTGAGTTTTGAAATAGATTGTATATTGGTAACAAGAATTGGTGATGGAGAGGGATGCACAAAAGTTTTTTAAGGAAATAAATATATTTTTTAAGAGTGTTAGAAGATAAATGCTCATCATCATCATCTCATTAAACTTATCCCAACTATTTTGGGTTGGCATTATAAATAGTCATTTTCCATTCTTCTTTTTAAATTTTGAGTGTTGTCTACAGGATTAAATCTATTATTCACAAATCATTTTGAGCAAATTCTATCTGTCCATGATTAGGTTTATCCTTTTAATACTTGATTAACTAACACTAATTTTATCAACTCTTAGTGGGCGCATTTTTAATCATTCGTTGTACATTTTAAAACCGCCTTAATCTATTTTTAGCACCTTATGTTCAATAGATGCAATGTTCAACTTTTTTTTTTGATATAATCATTCTTCAAATTTTAGTTCTCATTTCTGATACACTCAAATTAAAATGTAATGATTTTTTTATTGCTTAGCTTTCGGGAAATTATTAGATGTGAACTACGCATATTTCTCAGCGTTTGTAAAGCAGGAGTACCTAGTTGTATATTTGTTCAACAGCAAATAGATGTGCACAATGTACTCATGTGTGAGTACATAACTGTACGCTCCCAATTTACAAGCGTAGAGCTATGTACATAGTTAGTACCTAATCTAAACTGCATGGAGCATACTTTATGGAACATAGTTTTCGGGATAAGAAAGCTTTAGTCTAGAACTTAAACATGTTGATGGGACTAGTTTTAATAAGCTGGAACCTCATAGCAAAAGAAAGTTAGATGCTGTTCCAACTAAATAATGGAGAAAAGAGTTTGATAATAAGAGTCTGACAACCAACGACTTTTAGTCCATTGGATGATGGGCCCTATTTGGTAGACAAAGATAGGTGATAAGGAGGCTGTATAGAGGAAAGACATAATATTAGCATGATGGCCTTTGATGGAGACACTATTAGAGAATAATTTGGCTTTTGTTAGCGTTGTGATCTGGGTTAAAAGTATACTAGAAAATGACTAATATAGAAGAAATGGATCAGGTATTTATAGTGGCGGTTTTGCCAAAAATAAGGATATCCACAAAAAGAAAATGAGATATTTTATAAGGATATCCACAAAATGACTGTATGAATAAATGGCCCATTCGTACAAGCTTGATTATATAGGATAACCCATCTGTAACATTGATAAACAATGACGGGGTAACCTTATCTAAGTTCCTTAAAGGAATGGAAATATCTCTTTAAAGAGCCATTAATGCTAATTGAGAAGGCATCTTCAATGCACGCTTTGATACATTTGATGAGTTTGGGTGGAAAATCGTTCTAACTATGGAAGTAACGGCCTTTAGTATATCAAATTTTACATAGGAATAAGGAGGCGTATTCCTTGTATGGAGTTTTCTAACAAGTTCAGTAATAAGGAGGATATTCTCTTCAAGAATTTTGTTTGAAATAAACGAACCTTTAGTGTGGGAGGTAATATAAAGGAGAACCTTCTTGAATTTGTCTACGAGAAATCTAGTTATGATTTATAAAGAATCTCGTAAGGAATTTAAGATGTTTGCCAACACTGATGGATATTAGACATCAATATTTTTTATTGGACCCTAAAATTGTACAAGCAAACTATGAAGAATGGGCTAACAACACAATGGATCAACCAAGTACCAACAACCATGAAAGGCTACCAAAGAAGAAGAAGAATTCCAAAACATTCATCATTGGCAACATAAAGTTAGTATACAAATATGTAATAAACACTAGTTTATTTTTATTCTATTTTAGTTAGGTAGACCAGATCTACAAGAACTGCTGCTAGCTGCTACATTTAGTCCAAAATCTGCTGCATCAAGAATTGATTTTCACTTACAGCAGTGCTGCTAACTGCACCCCCACTTGCCAATTTTCTTCTCATCTTTAAGCATGCATTAGGTTCTTTGTTCCATTATTTTTTTTTTTACTTTTTTTTTTCCAATGACAGTTTTCTATTATTTTTTTTTCCTTTTTTCCTACAGGTACCAGTTCTTGTTATCAAGAACTGCTTCTTGCTCATTTCCTGCACCCCCACGCTATTACTTGTCATGACAAACGTTGATTTAGCAGAGCTATTTGAACCTTGCGAACTAATAAAAAAAAGTAATTTTCCGAAATAAAAAAAATCTTTCCAACTGGCTGATGTTCAGTCAGTTTGCACCCATTGGCAGATCTTTACAACAATTCCTTTCTTTCATGGACTTCGTTGACAAACGTCTTGACAGTTTGTGAACTGACCTCTCTCACTCTTCCTTCCATCAAGAACCCCTTTCTTCGGCTTGCATTCTTGGCTCCGTTGGCTGAATTCATTCTCCATAAACACAATCCTCACCTCCAAATTTTTTTTCCTTAAATCAATGAACATTGAACTCCCTCGCTTTAATGGCTCCAACATAGAAACTTGGATTTTTAAAGCCATGAATACTTCGGTTTTCATAATACCCCTCAATGTCATCATGCATGCATTGATTGGTTTCATCTTGAAGGCCCAACCACTACTTGGTACCAATGGTTACAAATGAAAAGGACCATTACTCTCTTGGACTGATTTTATGTTACCCTTACAACAACAATGTGAGATTTCTACATAAGATGATTTATATGGCAATCTTTATGAACTAATTCAACAAAACTTTATTCTTTGAATATCAAACTTGTCACGACCCGGCTCGGTTAGCCTTATAATAACGGGACGGGAACAGTCGGTCATACGGATTACACATATAAAACATAAACAATTTCATTTAAAATTTTAATGTCAGTACATAAACATCATCCAATTATATGAAAGAGCCACTAATAACATCAAACTGAAGTGTTCCAAACTGTTCTTCTAACAAAACTACTAAAAACTTTAAAATCTAAAATTACATAAACTCCAATACTGTTTATACACAAGTACATACTATTAAACTCAAACTCAAAACTGAAACTCAACAGAAAACATCAAAATAACATTTCTTCTTGAGGTCCTCTACGACGGTACGTGTACTGTCGTCTCATAGCCATCACTTATCTCCTGAAAAATATTTTCAAACAAAGAATGAGCCAACGCTCAGCAGATAATTCATAACTCAGTTAATTTCATAAGAAACATATAACAAAACTTTTATAATTGAAATCAATTCATATCATTTTATAAATCATAACATTTGAATTTCTATTCTTGCTTTCATTTTCCTTTCTTTAACGTTCCATTTTTTCCTTTCATCTTTTTCATATGCAAATCAAATGCAAATATGTTTATGTTAAATGTATATATATTCATCCCAGAAGTATCATGTTTGTATTGATCAGGTACACAGTCAAAATTCTGGCTATTTCCTTTACCATTTGGCTACGAAAAATTTCATTACCATTTGGCTTTTGCAAGCCCCATTGCCATTTGACTTTTGCAAGCCCCATTACCATTTGTTTGACACTTCCGGATCAACATGCACATGAAATTGTTATTTTATTTAAATCTTTCAATTATGCTCAATTGTTTTTCGTAAGTTTCATATATTTTCATGCTCAAGTGTTCTTCATATGCTTTATATGTTTTCCAATTAATGCATAATATAGAAATATGAAATTGTAGGGTATTCTTTAAATCATAGAACATAAAACATAACAGTAAAATAAATGCATAAAAATTTTTTTAAGCATAAAAAATATAAGCACTTATGAATTTAAATGATGTATTAATACAGATCTTAACGACTTCAAAATAGACTTCTACGACGTACGACGTCGCCCCGACACTTGTCGTTCCTCTAAACAATCAATATCTAACATTGCACATAAATTCAAGTCATATTACATAACACTTAATTTTCTTAAATTTAATTAGCATTTTCGGATTTATTAAAAATCCTACATTTTAAAAACTCTAAATCATGAATTTCGCTCAAATCTTTATTTTAAATTATTCATAAATAATATTTAATAATTATCTAATTTATTTTCGGATTAATTAATTTAAGAAATTATGAAAAATAATATTTTCATTAAAAACTTACTTTTATGTTTTAAAAATATTCCTAATGTTCTTAGGAATAACTTTTCTAAAAGCATTTATTTGGAATTTGATTTTAGAGAAAAAGCCCTAAAATTACATCCTCCAAAATTTCTCCAAATTCATCGTTTTCTTTGCTAAAACATTCCTCTAATCATTTCTTAAAAATTTCATAAAAAAATTTTGAAAGAAAAACAAAATTCTATAAAACCCTAGAAACATCGTCTCCAAAAATCTTGAGATCGAGAGGGATTTGTTTCTAAATAATCATACCTTTAGATTCCCCTTGTCGTCTTCTTCAATTTGAACTATTTTTTTAGTCGGAAAATCGCCGCCGTCGAGCCCTAGCCGTCCGTCCCGTCCGCCCTTTACCCGCTCGTTCTGCTCGGTTGGGTGTCATGCGAAAAAATTGAGAGGGGGAGGGGGTTCGGTTATGCCTAATAAGAAAAATGCGATTGCCAAATGTCCACTATGCCCTTAAATAAATTTGGCCTTCTATTCGCATAAGGATAAAACCGGTATTTCCAAACTTCTGAATTTTATAATTCCTAAATTATACATAATTTAATATAAGTCCTATATATCAAAACGATCAGAAGTTTGCTTAGGATTTTCTAAAATTATTTTCGTTAAATTCCGTTAACTTCGAAAATTTCATTTAAGTCTCATTGCGATGCATCGAAAAGCGTGTGACGACCTACGATCGTCATTTTCGGGTTTTACAATTCTACCCTCTTAATAAAAATTTTGTACTCGAAATTTAAAAGAAAATACTAAACAGTAAAGCCATACCTTAGCCAAATAAATGAGGGTTGTTCTCCCTCATTTCTGACTCCTCCCAGGTGGCATCCTTCTCTGAATTGTGCTTCCAAAGCACCTTAACATAACGAATCGTTCTGCTCCTCAACTGCTTAACATCATAATCAAGGATTTTCTCTGGTTTATTCACAAATGTCAAATTCGGTTTAATATCTTCCACTTCAGTATTAATCTTTTGAGCTTCATTTGAAATATATTTCCTTAAAGTGGAAATATGAAATACATTATGCACTCCACTCATGTGTGCTGGTAGAATCAACCTATAAACCACCTTTCCAATCATTTTTGAAATCTCAAAAGGACCTACATATCTTGAATTCAACTTTCCCACTTTGCCAAATCTCTTCACTCCCTTTATTAGATTGACTTTGAGGAACACAAACTCTCCAACATCAAACTCAACTGGTCGGTGTTTGACATCATAGTATTTCTTCTGTCTGTCCTGCATTTCCCTTAATCTATCTCGGATTAACCTTATCTTTTATGTAGCATCATCAATCAGATCACCACCAATAATCTTCCTTTCCCCTGTCTCAGCCCAGCTTAAAGGTGTCGTATATCTTCTCCCATACAAAGCCTCATAAGAAGCCATACCGATACTTGCTTGGAAGCTGTTGTTGTAGGCAAATTCAATCAAAGGTACATATGTCTCCTACTTACCACCAAGATTTGCTCAGGTTGTGTTTTGGCCAGATTATGTGTTCTGGATTTTGGTGGTAAGTGGAAGACATATGTACCTTTGATTGAATTTGCATATAATAACAGTTTCCAAGCAAGTATTGGTATGACTTCTTATGAGGCTTTGTATGGGAGAAGATGTAGGACACCTTTAAGCTGGGCTGAGACAGGGGAAATGAAGATTATTGGCGCTGATCTGATTGATGATGCTACAGAGAAGATCAGGTTGATCCGAGATAGATTGAGGACAGTGCAGGATAGACAGAAGAAATAATATGATACCAAGCACCGATCAGTTGAGTTTGATGTTGGAGAGTTTGTATTTCTCAAAGTCAGTTCAATGAATGGAGTGAAGAGATTTGACAAAGTGGAAAAGCTGAGTCATAGATTTGTAGGTCCTTTTGAGATTTCAGAAAGGATTGGAAATGTGGTCTATAAGTTGATTTTACCATCACACATGAGTGAAATGCATAATGTGTTTCATATTTTCTCTTTAAGGAAATATATTTTAGATGAAACTTAGAGGATTAGTACTGAAGTGATAGATATTCAACCAGATTTAACATTTATGAATGAACCAGAGAAAATCCTTGATTATGATGTTAAGCAGTTAAGGAGCAGAACGATTCCTGATGTTAAGGTGTTATGGAAGCACAGTTCAGAGAATGATGCTACTTGGGAGAATGAGTCAGAAATGAAGGAGAACCACCCTCATTTATTTGGCTAAGGTATAACTTTACTGTTAAGTATTTCTTTTAAATTTCGAGGACAAAATTTTTTATTAGAAGGTGAGAATTGTAAAACCCGAAAACAACGATCGTAGGTCATCACACGCTTTTCGATGCGTCGCGACAAGATTTATGTGAAATTTTTGAGGCTAACGAAATTTGACAAATATAATTTTATAAAATTTCTCGCAAAATTTTGATCGTTTTGATATATAGGACTTATAATTAATTATGTGTATTTTGGGAATTATAAAATTCAGAAGATTAGAAATACCCATTTTACCCTTGTTTCTTAAGCCGATTTTATTTAAGCAAGGGTATATAGGTCATTTAGCAAACCCTTTCTCCCTTACTAGGCAAACCGAAAACCCTCCCTCATTTCGCACGATCGGCCGAGAGAGACCGAGCGGAACGGGCGGACGGCGTGCGGCAAGGGCTTCAGCAGGGGTGGTTCCGGCTACATTTTTTCGATGAGAAAATTAGTCCAAATCGAAGAGGACGACGAGAGGATTACAAAGGTATGATTATTTCTAAATGAATGATTCTTTATCTCAAGATTTTTAGAGACAAATTTTTTAGAGTTTTATAGATTTTTGTTATTCTTTCAAAATTTTTTTGCGAAATCTTTAAGGAGGGATTAGAGGAACGTTTTAACAATGAAAACGAAGAAATTGGTGGAATTTTTGGAGAATGAAATTTTAGGAATTTTGTTTTAAAACCTAATTTCTATTAAGTGCTTTTAGAAAAGTTATTCCTAAGAATATTAGGAATGTTTTTAAAATATAAAAGTGAGTTTTTAATGAAAATATTATTTTTCATAATTTCTTAAATTAATTAATCAAAAAGTAAATTAGATAATTATTAAATATTGTTTAGGAATAATTTTAAAATAATGATTTGAGCGAAATTCATGATTTAGAGTTTTCAAAATGTAGGATTTTTAATAAATTCGAAAATGCTAATTAAATTTAAGAAAATTAAGTACTATGTAATGTAACTTGGGTTTTATGTGCAATATTAGGTATTGATTGTTTAGAGGAACGACAAGTGTCAGAGCGTCGTCTTACGTCGTAGAAGTTTATTTTGAAGTCGTTAAGGTAGGTATTCATACCTCATTTAAATTCTTAAGTGCTTATATTTTTATTTCTTAAATGAAGTTTTATGCATTTATTTTACTGTTAAATTCATGTTTTATATTCAATGATTTAAAGAATACCCTGTAATTTTATATTTATATATTATGCATTAATTGGAAAGCATATAAAACATTTGAAGAACACTTAAACATGAAAATATATGAAGCTTATGAATAACAATTGAGCATAATTGAAAGATTTAAATTAAATAACAATTTAATGTGCATGTTGATCCGGAAGTGATAAGCAAATGGTAATTGAGCTTGCAAAAGTCAAATGGTAATAGGGCTTGCAAAAGCCAAATGATAATTGGTTTTTCGGAGCCAAATGGTAAAGAAAATGACCAAAATTTTGACTATGTACCTGATTAGTTCAAACACATACTTCCGGGATGGGTGAATACATTTAACATAAGCATATTTGCATTTGTTTTGTATATGAAATGATAAAAAGGAAAGAAGGAAAGAAAGAATAAAAGAAAGGAAAATGAAAGTAAGATGAAACATTTATATGTTATGATTTACATAATGAAATGAATTAGTTTCATTTATAAAAGTTTTTGTTATATGCTACTTATGAAATTAATTGAGTTATGAATTACTTGCTGAGTGAGGAAGCTCATCATACATTTGAAAATGTTTTTCAGGAGAAACTGTTAAGAAGTGATGGCTGCACGACGACCGTACACGTACTGTCATAGAGGACATCAGGAAGAAAGATTCTTTTGATGTTTTCTGTTGAGTTTGAGTTTGAGTTTAGTAGTATGTACCAGTGTATGAACAATATTAGAATTTATGTAATTTGTGGATTTTAAAGTTTTTAATAGTTGTGTGAGAAGAAACAATTTGGGACAATTATGGTATTGATGTTTTCTTAGTGGCTTTTTCTTATAGTATGTGTTGAGGATATTCATATTTTGTTAGAAAAGTTTATATGAAATGATAATGATTGTATTATGATGTTTTCTGTACAACTGTCTGCTCCCGCCCCGTTAATTCGGGCTAGCCGGGTCGGGTCGTGACAAGTGAATATCAAACTGCCTTTGAAAACCTTGCTTTTAAAATCCCAAATCTATTTGTACCACCTCATTCGTTATTTTATTTCCGACCTTAAGCAAGAAATACGTTGCCAACTTTTAATTTCAAAACCTACCTAACTCTTGGATACCATGGATTCAACTAGACATCATGGATCTAAAATTCAATATTCTCTTTCCATGCCATCATCATCTTGGCAAAAATATTTTCCTTCTAATTCCATTCAACTTAAACTTAATTTTCCACCTTCTACTATGAAACCACTTCTACACAGCCATCTTCCGTTGCCCAATATGCTTTTCCCTCTTACACGCCAAACCCCAATACGTCTAAACCTCCACATCTTCCAGTCCGCAAGCTATCTCCAGTTGAAAGTCAATTTCACCGTGATAAAGGTCTTTGTTTCAATTGTGATACAAAATTTGGCCCTAACCATCATTGTCCAAATAAATTATATCTTTTACTCAACACTGAATATTCGGATTTACTTGATGACTCTCTCAATTCTTTTTTCATTGATATAAATGGCGTAAACCCATTTTGTCAACTTGAGATTAGCCTTCATGCCTCTTAGCAGGATAATTTAATCCTCTTTTTTTTAATTAACTAGATCGATTTATCATCATAATGTCCATATATTAATTGATCATGGTAATAATCATAATTTTATTCAAGATCATCTAATCCAACAATTAGATCTTCATCCTCATTCTATCAAACAATTCAATGTATTTGTTAGAAATTGTAATTTTTTAGTCTGTCAGGCTAAATGATCCCAAGCCAATATTACTATTCAGGGATATCATATTTTTCTTTCTTCATTTGTTTTGTCAATTCATGGTTTGATTTAGTTCTTCGTATGCAATGACTCCTATCTTTAGAACAAATTTTACAGAATTATCAAAATTTTACCAAGCAATTTCATAATCGAACTCAACGTGTGACAGGAGAACCTCAATTAACACATGACCCTATATCCTTTCATCAATTACATGCCATCATTTTCCATTTACCCACAACTCAATTCTTCACCGTTCAATCGCAACAATTAGATCTATTTCTTCTTCCATCTACAAATCTTCTTGATGACTAAATAACCAACCTTCCACATTCTTTAACTTTATCCATTTCTTCCTTAAACAATTTCAACATTTGTTTCAACACCCATAAGGCTTACCCCCACCTTGTACTATTGATCATTGTATTCATCTTCCATCTTTATCTAAACCAATCAACATCCATCCTTATCATTACCCGCATTTTCAAAAAAATGCCATGGAACAATTAGTTTCTGAATGCTTCACACCAATATTATTCGTCATAATTGTAGTGTTTTCTCTTTGTCTGGTATTGTTTGTTAATGAACATGATGATATTTGACAATTTTGCATTGATTATAGTGCTTTGAATGCCCTCACAATTGTGGATAGATTTCCTATTCTAGCCATTGATGAACTCTTTGATGAATTATAGGACGCATCCCTTTTTTCCAAGCTTGATCTTTGTTCTGGCTATCACCATGTTAGAATTTATGCTAAAGTTATCCAAAAAACTTTATTTCGAACTCATGAGGGTCACTATGAATTTCTGGTTATGCCTTTTGGTTTAATAAATGCTCCTACATTTCAAGCTTTAATTAACTAAATATTTTGTTATTTTCTCCGTAAATTCGTTATAATTTTTTTTACGGCATCCTTATATATAATCCTTTTCTTGATCACCTTCAATTTGTTTTTCTTTTTCAATGCTTACAATCAAAGAAATTTTTTCTTAAACTTAATAAATGTTAGTTTTGTCAATTCTTCATTGAATATTTGGATCATATTCTCTTATGGATGTGTAAAAGCTGACCCTAATAAAATTAAGGCTATAACTACATGCCAAATGCCTACCGCCTTCTTTGTTCTTTTTTAGGTTTTACAGGATATTAACACTGATTTATATCTAATTATGCTTTATTGCTTTGCCTTTAACCAATATTCTCAAAAAAGATTATTTCAAATGGGATGCCATAGCTTCCACTGCCTTTCACATTCGCAAATTGGCTATGACAACTACCCTAGTCCTAGCATTACCTGATTTTACAAAAAAATTTATTGTAGAAACAAATGCTTCCAATATTGGCATTGGCACCATTTTATTACAAAATGACTATCCCATTTTCTTTTTTAGTAAGAATTTAAACATTAAACTTTCTCAATGCTCCATGTATTTAAAAGAGTTATATGCTATTACTGAAGTTGTTTCTAAATGATGTCAGTATTGATTAAGGCAATGAATTTATTTTTGTATGGATCATAAAAGCCTACAAGAACTACAAACTCAAGTTATCCAAACTCTTGATCAACAATTTTATCTTCGCAAGCTTTTTGGATTTCATTTGACTATTGAGTATAAACCTGACAAAACAAATGTAGTTGATGATTTGTTATCCCGACTGCTAGAAGATATTTCTACCCTGCTTCCATTATTCCTTATTTTAACATAATTTTTTTCTTCCCTCTTAAATGAATTAAAACAAGAGTTTGATGAGGACATTCGACCGTGAAAAAATTATCAAAGAAGGAGCCGAAGATCTACGACCATGATTGGACAACTTTATTTTAGAGTTATTATTTTTATTTGGTTTATTTATGCATCTTTTCCGTTTTTACCCTCACTTGAGAGAGTAGGCTTATGTGACCCTAGGGGGCACTTTTGTCATTTGATTGTTATTGTATTTTGGCTATTTATAGTCCCTTCTCTTCTTTTTGAGGGATGATGATTATGATAAAAAGAAAATATTGCACTTTGTGTTTGAGAGCTTGATGGGAAGTCTTTTAAATTCAGACTCAAATGTGAATTTGAAAGTATTTCCTAAAATAGGGAAAGTTATTTTATGAAAAAACCTTCAATTCATGCTTTATTTGAATTTAAATAGGAGTTGATTTAAATATCCTTTCCTATTTTAAAGTTTCAAATCTAGCAATCTATAAATCCTCCCATTAAATCCTTTCCCCTAAGCCTAGCCGCCGGCCCCTACCCTTTCTCTCCACCATTATTTCCTCTCTAACTTGGGTTACCAATCACACCAACCATCAATGTGCGGCCCCTCTTTTCCCTCTTTATTTTGGAGATTCAAATTCAAATTTCTCCAATTAATCTCCCAAATTAATGCTGCCATTAAATCTCAATCCATCTGATTTATTCTTGATTTAAATTGCATGCTACCTAGGCAAGAAAATTAATTCATATTTCTTCTAATTGTTTCCCCTACATTAATTTGACCTCTAAATCCGGGATTACACCATCCCCTTGCCTCTTCTTTGGCGGCCGGCCACTTACCCCACCACCCTCTCTCCACTTCTTCTCATATGCTTGATATTTTACCTAAGGAAGAAGAAATAAAACCTCCTCCCTTGATCATCCACATGGAAAACCCTCGAGCACCTTAATCCTTTGACAACTACAAGGACTGTTTGCTTCAAGGAGAACTCACAAACGATCATCGTTCGGATCCTGAAGGACAATGGAGCAAAGTTCACATGTTCGACGAAGTTCTACATCAAGTTCAAAAGCATGACAATGTTCTACATCATATCAAGGTTCAGAAGTTCAACAAAGTTCTACATTAAGTATAAAAGCTTGACAAAGGCGAGCTCTCTTCAGAATATTTTTATTTTCGAAAGAGTTATGAAAGCTTATCCGCCTAGCCCTTATTATAAGTTTGTGTGAGGGATCTTGATAGTGACTAATCTAATTGTTAATCAATGGATTTCTTTTGAAAGCCCCACATAAAGCTAAGTTAGATTTGATTTGATTGTTTTTATGTTCCTATCATTAGCTCGTAATTGAGTGCCTGAACCTAATCATTGCTTTATTGTTTTCAATCTCTTGTTTAAGTCGTAAGAAGTTACTATTTGCTATTTTTCACTTGTAAGCGTGTAATTTTAAAGATAATCACATCTCATGTTCATGTAGTCCTACATCAGAATCTCTCCATGCTTCTAATATCCTCATCTCATTTCTAAACTTTCTAATGGTTACCTCTCTCCCACCAATTATTAATTTTGTTATCACATTCTTTGCTATAAGGGTCATATTTATATCAGTAAAGATTTGGCCCTCAAATAAAAAATCATCATAGAATTCCATTGTACACCTCTTGCTGGTCATTAAGGCATTCTAAAAGCCATCAAACGAATATTCCCTATTTTTATTGGCTTGGTCTTCATTAAGATGTCACTAACTTTGTTAGCACATTTCTTAATTGTCAAGAAATCAAATCTCCTCTCCTAGTACCCTCCCAAATTTGGGAAGATTTATCTATGGACTTTATTAAAGGTTTACCTAATTCTAAAGATATATTTCCATTTTTGTTGTGATTGATCGATTGTCAAAATGTGCCCATTTTGCTCCTTTATCTATATTATATTCCGCTTCTTAAGTTGCTAATCTTTTTTCAAATATGACAGTTCGCTTAGATGGTTATCCTAAAACTATAGTATCCGATAGGGATAATATATTTTTAAGTAAGTTTTGGTGTCAACATTTCACTCTAAGTGATACCACTCTTCATTTTAGTTCTTCTTATCGCCCCTGACGGATAGAGGTTCTAAATTGTTGTTTAGAACATTATCTTTGTCCATGCTCTTCCTCTACCCCCAAATGATGATCTTCATTTTTTTGTTGGGCTGAATTATGTTATAATATATCATACCATGCAACTATTAAAATGTCACCATTTTTATGCTCTATATTGACGACTACCCTTCCATTCCTTCTAATATTTTTAGTGCAACAAACATCCATGCTATCAATACTCTCTTAACAGACTTTGACATACTGCTCCCTTCCCTTTGAAAAAAGATTCAACAAGCTTAAAATCGAATGAAAATAACAGCAGATCAGAATCGAAGGGATTTGCATTTTCCTATTGGAGATCTAGTCATGGTTTAACTTCAACCATTCTGACATCATTTAGTCATCCGTCGAACACATTATAAATTAGCTAAGCTATATTTTGGATCGTTTCCAATTCAAGGTGTTGTTAACCTAGTGGCCTATCGCTTAACCCTTCCTTCTAATAGTAAAATTAACCATGTTTTCCATATTAATCTTTTCAAACCATTTAAAGGAACACATTCTAAATTAGCAAATGACAAGTTTACATCTTATTCTCGTGCATGTGTGCCGTGATTATTACATAGGCATGTTACAGAAGGTGTGTCGATGGCTAAAGACGAAGCACACTCATACACCATGCTCATATGTGTGATTATAGGTAGGTTGAGAAGGAGAAAATGGGTTCACCTTGTAACAATTTGTTAATGTAGACACAACTCGTGATGTTACACAACATAAGTGAGGAGGTTGAAATTGATAGAATTGCAAAACAGCATGTGAAAAATGAAGAAAAAAGGGAGCCATAAAGTAACATAGCCTAAGAAATAAATATATTAATATTAAAAATGTAATTAAAAAAATTAATTGAATAATATAAGAGAGATCATTGAGCCTAATATCCAACCTTTAACATGTTATTTGTTGAGCATCAGACAAATTTTATGTTAACCTAAATAAATAAGTTGGTATGCGTTTGAGCTTTAGTTTTTACCTTCCGAGTTTATACAAAAAGTTCGAACTTGTTTAATTACTAACTTGAATGATTATTATTCGAGTTGAGTTCAAGCGGTTCATCAAGTGCATTGGTTCACTTGTAGGCCTAGATAATTGACACGTAATAGATGAATTGACAATGTACTATGGGAGGATTAAAAAGAAAAATAATCCATATCTTAAATAGCATGGACAAAAGTTGTTAAAAAAATGTGATGAATTAGTTTAACACCTCATGCCACATTCTACTAGAATGAATGGAACATGATGACTCATAAACTTGACCAAAATATTGGGATAATATTAGAAATGATGACCGGATATAAGAGAGAGGGATAGATGAAGAGGAGAGTTTGTTTTTGTTTCAAAATCCAAGAAAAGGCATTCCTTTCGTTTTTATTATTTGGGTGTGGACTTAATCTTATCTAACAAAGTCGAGAACCTAATATTAGTCGATTGCCATCATTATCTTACACTTTTACTTCATCTTGAACCAATTATTTGGAAATCGGAATTCATTTTGTCATGGATAACCAAACAACTTTCTTATTAGTTTTCCCCAATATTGACTTATAGAAGTGGAAATTGTCCTTTCCAATCACTTACGGACAGTCAGACCTGCACAATTTTACTTTATGTATTTGTAAAGTTGACATATTGCTTAAGAAGTTAATGATAAATTAGGGATGGAATGAATTATAAGACATTAGCAAATTTGAAGCAGTGCCTACTTCTTAAGAGTCCTCAATTTAATCAATTGAATATCAAGGTTGAGAAACTGTGGTTTGTTATTTTACACTTGTGAGTAATCCTATCAACTTGAGTGTAATTGTCTTATTTATTGTCCATGTTCAATTTTTTTATTGGGATAGAATTCCACGAAATCCTGAATCATTTACATCTTTTGATGTTATAGTTATGCAATTGTTCGCGACATGACTTCTGCTGGTCTTGGGTTGAACAAATTTTGCTATGCTGGACTTATAACAGCTTTTAAAAACAAGCTGCCCACCACGGAAGAGACTACATCAAAAGTTTGTATTGCATATCTATTTCAATTTTTGTTTTTCTTTAGTTTTAAATCCCCTACTAATCTGTTTACTTTATCTGGAAAGATCATTGAGTTCGTTAAGCAGTCAAAGGGGTGGTCTTCCATTGAGACTTCAAGTGATGGTGGAGAAAATGTGATGATGAACGTCTCAGAAGAAGAGCTATACAACATCCCAACTGCAGAATATGTGCATAGAAGGGGTTTTTTGAATAGGCAGCTAACAGTCTATCATGTTGCATTGCATGCCTGTGCTGATTTGAAGAGTAAAGAGGTATATATATTCATTTTTCTCCATTTAAACTTCTTAATTGAGACATTTATGAAAATTGTGTGATCGATTAAATGTATTCCTTTGCTTTGTATCATGCTAAATGTTACCTCATCAATTATTTGAAACTGGGTTGGATGACCTTGGAAGAGGGACTTTAGCCTTACTAATTATATGTTTCAATTGTTAATAATTTAAATCAAACTAGTTTATCTACCTCCTTTTAATAGTATGCCTATGGAAGTTGTTTGTAGAATAAAAGTTTCTTTGTGTTGGAGTATATAGTTGCTGTGTAGCAAGAGTAACATCTGTAGGTTTAACATTAACAAGTTGAAGTGACATTTTTATCAGTAATGATATATAAATTTTTTTAGCATGTTTGTGTTTTACCGTCTGGAAATATTGATTGTCGTAGTAAACATTTGTGGATGTAGAAATTGTGCTCATAATTTACAATCATTGTTTCTTTTTTTTTTGGTAATCTATGCTATGTGGTTTTTGCTTATTATGGCTTCATTTGGCATTGTGCTACTTTTTAAGTACCTGCCATATCTCAATTTTGGTATTCATCGGAAATGTACAATAAATCCTTCACATTCATCTAAAACACACTTAAGAAGGCAGTTCGTCCATCTCTGTGACTTGGCTAGTTTATATTGCACAATACAGCACAACATTACAAAAAAAGAAGGCTTAATTAAGATAAACCGTTTGTGGATTATTCATTTCAAAACATGCACTTTTCAGTTGCTCCCTTAAAAGTAGCGGCATAACTTCTCAAAGTTGATAACAGGCAAGCAGGTGGCTAAGGTTCATTTGTTTAGCCATTTGTGAAAATTTTGTGCCTCTGAGATTGCACTTAGTTTTATATTAAAATGAAAATTTTTTCTTAGATTCTGGAAGTAAAATAAGTTTGGGGCACAACTTAGGGTAAATTAACACAATGTAGATATACTTTGGATATTGAAGTATTGTTGCAGTTATTTATTTATTTATGGTCTTCATGCTTGTTAGATGTATCTTGTTAATGTAGATTTCTTATACATAAGGCTGAATCAAGAACTTTGCTAGTAAGTATCCCTGGAAGGCTGAAAGCATTAGCTTTAGATATTGACATGTTAATAACTACTAGTTTGTCTCAGAAATGACTCCCAATCTGATTCTACTACTGAAATTGGATCTGGATAAACCCATTTGATTTTGCATATCCTCATTTGGTTTGTTGGTTTGTTTAATAATCTAAAAGTTTGACAATCAATTCTAACTCCGAAATTTACTACTCTAGCATGATGGATTCGTGCAGTGAGAACCTTGTTGTTGTGGTTAGCTTGCTTTATTTCTTCTTTGCATCAAAAATATTTTCGGTTTTGATATTCTAGGCTCATAATAGTCTAAAAAGTGTTAGCTTAAAGTAAACCAATTAATTTAGTTTAAAGTTATTTTCTGACTTAAAATTTACACTGTTGGATCTTATGTAGTCTTACAAGTTTAATTATGGTTTCTGCCTGCATCCTATATCTATGATTTTTGAGTGTTGTAAAATTTTGACCTAATTTAGCGGCACTGGCTTTTAACTTCTATCAAGCTTTTCTAGCAACCATAGTATTTACTATTTAATGGTCTCTGGTAACAAGTCAGTTATTGGTATCTAAACTATGTGTAAATAGCTTTATAACCCTTGTCCAATGATTCTAATTTGTCATTGGCATCTGCCGTTGATATTTTATGCTTTGCCAAATCCTTTCTCAGAACAACTATGTTACCTGACAATTCTACCCACCTCTCCCCCTTGAAAATCCTTCAATTTGAAACTATTAATGTCTAATTGCTACATTTCTCTCACCAATAATTCTCTGCCCAATTTCATAATAATTGTGAGAACATCCCCCTGTTTTCCTGATGTGAAACATACATGCGATAAGAGTTGCTTTGGATTTTAACAATAAAATTTGAACATGATATTTGCTATCTAAAAACTTATTTTTCACTCAAGTCAAATTCTTAGAAATTTCGTTGGAAGATTAAGTGATGGCAAGCGGTTACAATGAGGTTAACAAGACAATCAAAATAACAACGAAAACAATATAATAATACTAATAACAAATAAACACAAATCCACGACGTAACATCAAGAAATAGTCATCATGAGTTCGTTCTCACTCGCTCTTGGGGTTGGGTTCAGTGGAGGAATGGTAGAAGCAATCACAATGATGCCCCCACTAGACAAGTGGCTCGTAAGGCCTTTTTCACCGGACAAGTAGCTGGAGGAGAAGAAGTTGTTGATCTTCCGATGAGGAGCCAAGGTACCTTGGGTTGTTGAAGCTCGATCGTCTCCGCTAGGCAATAGAGGATGCGGTTGACGTAGTCTTCCACCGAGTCGTCATACTCCCAGTCTGGATCATAGAAAGGGGAGCGGAGAATGTCGATTTCCCCTTGGGCGTTGTAGGCGAGACCGTGGTCGACCTCAGAGTTGGGAACTTTTATTTTTTCTGGTGAACGGACGTAGAGCTACGCTCGGCCGACACTGAGATCGCTCCACGTAGCAAGCACAAAATCACGTATTTGTCGATTTTGCTCGGCAATAACGAGAAATACCATTATGTGAAGACAAATACCGAGCAATATCGAGTAATACCGAGCAATATAGAGCTGCCGAGTTTTTTCTAGAAAAACTCGGTATTACTTGGTATTCGTCTTCATAGAGTGATATTTCTCGTTATTGCCAAGCAATACATAGCAATACCGAGCAAATACCGAGTAACTCAGTGGTGATTACACGTAGAGCTACGTCCGGTCACCGGACGTAATAATTGTTCAAGGGTTGGCCATACATACTTCCCTCAAAGTGTGTGAGCCAGCAAGTTGGGAAGAGGGGAGGAGAAAAGTAGGGGATGAGGGAGAGGAGGAGAGCCGACAGTTTGGGTTAAGGGGATCCGACGGTTTGTGGGAGAAGGGGGAAATTAGGATGAGGGCTAGGGGAATTTGTTTAAGTGGAAGCTAATTTTAGGTTTAAGTGGAATTGGAGGGAAATCAGATTTGAAATTAAATTCAAATTCAAGTGGGGTGAGGGCTTCAATACGAAAACAAATTAAAAAGCCCATTAAAGGGGGGCCGGCGGCTTCATAGGGGGGAAAGAGGGATTATGGAGAGAATTTTGGGAGTTTCCAAATAGATTTTTGTAGACTAGGAAAGTAAATAAGAAATCCAATTTAATTTATTTTAAATTGGATTAATGATACAAACTTTCCTTATTTCGATTTTTTTAAATAAGAAAATTATTTGAAATTCAAATTTGAATTTCAAAAGATTTAAATCTCCCCTTTAATTGCTTGCGCTATTTTAGGAAGGGAGTTATGATCATTGAAATAATCATAATTGGAGTGGAGCAAGAGGGGAGGCCGACGGCAATGGGAAGTGGGGTGAAGGCGTTTGGTGTAAGGAGAGAGGCTTGGGCCGTCGATTGGAACTTAAGGTGGTGGAATTAGGGGAGGATTTGGGTGGGGAGGATGGCCGGCGGTGGAAGGGAAAGGAGGAGCCGACGAGTGGGGTGTGAAAGAGAAGAAAAGAAAAATAAAATGAATTAAACCACGAGCCGCAGACTCTTCCAACGACTGGTGGGTATTGCGCTTGCTCTCACCTTAAGCTCTCTCTCCCTTCTCTCTAGTGCTCACACAAGAAGAAGAAGAAAACACAAAATTTTCATTATCAAATCATCATCCTCTTACAACATATAAGACCACTATATGTGGATCTCAAACATAAAAAAAAGAAAAAATACTTAAATGCCCTCTGAGCTACAATAACAAAACACTTCACCATAAGGGTAAATTCGGAAAGCAACAAAACTAAATAAATGCATGAAAAGTAGAGGCGCTGAATCGTAGCCATCGATCTACGATTATGTCGTCAGTACACATGTCTGAATCTCTAAATGATTTCCTCATCATTTCCCCTTCCAATGTGACATATAGAACTGTAAGAATTTGGGGAACTTTTTTTGCTCACATGCTGTACTATATGATAGACAATCAACGAGTTCCAAATCATATGACAGATGACATGTGCCACATGGCGGGTATACTTATCATTTCTTTTTTTTTTTAAAGCTTACACGCAGGGAGGTACTGAATAGGACCAACTTCTTAAGCATGATTTTTGATCATATAAAAATGATGTAATTGGTTTTCATGCATTAAATGAAAAACAACCCATCTATCATTTTTTACTTTCCCAGTGTGGGTCTCCGAAAGGATTCTTCTTATGGGATTCGAATGCAAAGGGTAGGACTGCACTATCATTTAGGATAAAATGATCGTAGGTCTTTACACTCGACAAAAGCAGGCCAATTGAAGAGCAGATGGAGTCATACATACGATTAGCCATGGAGGATAGCGGCTTTCACCTACATACCTCTATGGATAATAATATATATATATAACCAAAAAGTTATGAGATTTCCCCCATTCGATACATGAGCTCGAATGTGGTTTATTTGATGTGGGGATTAGTCTCCCACGGGCGCAAGCCCCCTTGGTTAATTACATCCTAGGCCTTGACCTAAGAAAACTCTCGATTAAGGATAGTGTATTATTCTCTTCTTAATTTGGTGAACAGAGAAAGTTACTAAGTTCTATTCGAAGAAAATGAACTCTTCTCTTTACCCTTAGTGATGACTAGACCTTTTTAGATGAATAAATATATGATTAAAATTTTGAGTTTAAAAGATCAAAGATTGGATTACTATCATAAGAGAAATGACATACTCATAATTCATCAAAGATAAAGAGAGACACATTGAGGGGTGTACAACCTAGGCTTATGCTTACCTGGAGTGAGCTGTCAGCTAATATCTTAAGCACAACCAATCGTTCTATATATGTACAAGTTAGGAAAGCTCTATCCTAAGGAATCAAGGATTTATAATTTAAAATGTTTAAATCAGAGACTTTGTAATATGCAAAGGAATATACCTAGCGACATGTATGATGCATGAAACAAATGCA